CAGAAAGTATTTCTACAAAGGAGTTAAAATTTTATTGGGTTAATTGGTAGAGCAAGTTATGTCCCGCCAGGACATTGATGATAATAAAGCAATCACTCAGCACTCAATTGAGTTTAACCCCTGGGTGTGGTCCACGAAAAAGGAAGACAGCCCTACCTGTACCACTGTCCCAAAGCTGTACCTGATCCTAGGAGCTTGTATCAGTGGTTTTACTCTGTATGAAGGAAATAGAATTAGCTAAAATAATCCAGCCAGTCATTGAATAAGCAAACTACAATTAAAAAAAACCAGAAGGAAGGGGATCAGTACTCATGGTTACTATAAGATATTACCTAAAATGTCTGATCACTACAAAATTATTAGATCTGCAAAGATACAAGAAAGTAGGAACCACACACTGAGGAAAATAACAGCAATTAAAAAATGACCCAACTCTTACAGAAAACCCCAGCAAAATTAACAGCTTCATCTCATCAGAAAAAAAGGAAGGTCAAAAGCAGAGGGATAACATTCATAGTGCATGAAAATAAAAACCAAAAACCTGTAAACCAACAATCCTATATTCACCAAAACTGCCTTGTTAAAAAATGGTGAAGTAAAGACTTTCTCAGATAAACAAAACTGGGAGAATATATTGAGAGCCAACTGCCATGCAAGAGTTACTTAAGGTGTTCGTTAGGCTGCAAACAAGAGACCTCAGATGGTAATTCATAACAATATAAAAGAACAAAAAACCAGTATAAGCAGTTATGTAATTATGACAGAATCAATACATATTTTTTCTTTTTTATCTGATATCAAAAAAGTTTTATAAAATGCTATGTGTGTAATGTGTCAAAACTATAACATATGGAAATATAATGTATATGTAATATGTTTGCCATTAAATACACAAAAGACATAGTGGGAGCAAAATTGTACTGGGCTAAGGAAATGATTGTAGATGTATTAACCTAAAAATAAAAGGTCAAAGTGAGAGGCAACATGAATTTATTTGCAATTTAAAGGGCTAGCTATTCAGGAAGCACTGATTGAGGCAGCAACCCAATACTGTTCTGATTAGGAGGCAAAGACTAGGGACATTTATGAGAAAGGGAAGGAGAACAGTTACATCAGTAGAAGGAAGGAATTTCTGTAGGTGTAGATAAGCTAACATAGTGATTCTGATTCTAAACAATGTTTTAATTTTTCAGTCCTGTAGTCATAATATTTGCTTTCTTGTTTTGTTGTTGTTAAGAGTTGTTTGAGATAGAAAGCCACTTTAGGCTCAGTCCAAGGGTAATTTTACCCAGTTTTAACAGTCCAAAGGTTTAAGGAGTAAGGTTTGCAAGGCAATTCCTTGCAAGGCAGTTTCTCTGCGATGGCAGCTCCAACTCTCTTTTAAGGTATTGTTTTTTACAGATGGTAAAGAAAGAAGTGTAACAATATTGGGTTATAGCATTAATAGCATTTGCATAACAATACACAAAAATGGCAAAAGAGAATAGAACTATATATGTGACATTTCTATGTATCACTAGAATTAAGCTAGCATAAATGTGAAGCTCAGGCTTATAAATTAAGTAGTATATGTTAAACAGTAGAGGAACCCTTGACAATAACTTCAAGAATATAGTGAAAAATTAAAATGCAACATTAGAAAATAGTTAATGCAAAGGAAAGCTATAAAGGAGGAATAGAGAAACTAAAAAGAAAATGAGAACTGTAGAAAACAAAAAGTAAAATGGCAGGTATGCTTGCAACTATATTAACAATACTAAATATGAATGAATTACATAATCTTAACAGGAGGGAGAAATTGTCAACCCAGATTTAAAAAACAAACCATGATCAAAATGTTAACTATGAGCTTGCAGAACACACTGTAGATTCAAAAATACAAGTAGACTGAAAGTAATAGTGTGGGAAAGATATATCTGTGAACAGCACCTCCCAGAATAACTAGAGAGGTGATACAAATATCCAGCAAAATCGACTAGAAAGCAAAAAATATTACTAGAGATATTGAGGGACATTATGTGGTCAAAGTGTATGGTCTGCATCTAAAATAAAAAAAAAATATTTTAACCATTAATCCTATACTAGCAAAAAAAGATTTTGAATCAATAACCTGACTTCTCAAATTAACAGAATTGAAAAGATGAGGTACCAAATCTAAAGCAAAGAGAAAGGGAAATAATAAAAATGAGAGCAGAAATTAATAAAATGGGAAATAGAAAAACCAAAGAAGAAAAAATCAAAGAACCCAGAAGTGGGTTCTGTGGAACAATTAACAAAATTGATAAATCTTTAGTTAGGTTAATCTAGAAAAAAAGGGGGAAGATTCAAATTCACACAATCCAGAAGAAAGAGGGATATGATTACTGACATTACAGAAATAAAAGGATTATAGAGGAATTCAAAGAACAATTGCATGGCAACACATTAGGTAACTAAGATAAAATGAGTAAATTCCTTAAAGGACAAAAAATAAATATACAAAGCAAATATTGATGGACATAAATTACACATGGAACATTTTTCAAGATAGACCACGTGTTAGGCTACAAAACCTATTTCAATGAATTTCAAAAGGTTGAAATCATATTAAGAATCTTCTAAGATCCAGTCAAATCGATGGAGTAGTTAAGCACATACTGTGCCATCTTGACCAGAATTCTAGCCTTCCTCATGTTTTTTTATTTGTTTGGTTGATGTACAAAATATCTTATTTCACCTTGTAAAATTTCTCCTTTACTGAATTTAAGAATTAACACACAATTAAAAAAATTATATTAAGATTTGACCTTCATTCACTGAATCAGGTACTTTTGAGGAAAACAACTGCGATGTTACTACCACTCAGATCTGACTGAACCATGAAGGCTATCTGTATATTTTGTATGGCCGATGCAGATGTAACTCCTTGAGGTCTCACTAGACACAAGATGGTGACATCCAAGATGGATTGTCCCCAACCCCCAGTTGAGTGGTGGTGGTGGTGGGGGGAGGGTAGTGGGTTTAAATGTTCCCACAAAGTTCATGTTTACCAAGAACCTCAGAATTTGACTTTATATGGAAAATGGGTCTTTGCAGATGTAGTTAATTAAATATCTGAAGGTGAATTCATCCTGGACTTAGGGTGGGCCCTAAATTCAATGATTGGTATCCTTATAAGAAGAGGAGAGGACACAGAGACATGGATGGAAGACCGTAGGAAAGACAGAGGCAGACATCGGAGTTATGTTGCCACAAGCCAATGAATGCCAGAACCGCAGAAGCTGGAAGAGGCAATGGAAGATTCCCTGCTGTTGATAAACTATGAGTCAATGTAGGATTCCCCATTAATTCTCATTCAAACCATCGAAACTTAACAGTTTCAATCATTTAAATTCTTCAGGTCCCCAGTTATCACACCTGAACACTTTCATTTTTTAAGGTAACTCACTGAAATCATGTTCTACACCTGGGAGTTGATCAGGAATAATTTAAATGCATGAGAGAGAAAACCCAACTAAAATTAACTTTAGATAATTTAACAGACTATAAAAAGAGGAAAGAAAAGATTCAAAGAGGGAAGAGATCAGCTCATGTTTCCGGACTTGAGGAGTAGATATGTCCAGGCAGAGAAAAGCAGTATACAAATGAGGGGGCAGGCCTTGTCCTGACCATCTCCCACACCCACCGACTTTGTTGTCCTCCCAGGTGGCCACAGATCCTGTTGGCCACTCCTACACTGTGACCTCACACAGCCCCACTTCCCAGAATTCCAGGTAAGGCCCAGCTCTGGTTCTATAAAGGGCCCTGTGCCTGGATCCTATTGACCAGAGAGGGCCATGTGACACCCCTACATGCCAGGAACTTGGGGATGGAAACATGGAGATTAGCTCACACTAAAGAGTTAGAACCCCTTAGTCCTGGGGTGGAGTCAACCCCACATGAAAGCTGTGGGCTCTGGGAGGGAGCTACCATTATGTTAAATCCAGAAACTGTTGTCAGGAGCCCTAAGGCACAGCTGTCCACCTCAAAACGCTCTACACTTCTATTTCTCTGTTAGACTTTGACCCTCTGAAACCAGGCCTCCTTCCCCACCTTGGCTAGAACTGCTCTATCCGAAGTTCAAGGAAGTCCAGAAAATGCCCTATCTTTTCAAACTCACAGCACTCATTTTTGTCTTGACTTAATGAAAGAGTCCCCTTATTTCATGTCTAATTTGACATTTACCCCCATCAAACTGTTCAGCATATGCTGATCGGATACTTACAATGTGTCCTTAGCTGTGAGCTGGTGGACAAGTTTCCTTGGCTTAGGACTAAGTGTCAGGTGAAGGTGATGAGCCTGCTGCCAAAGAAGGTGTCTCCACATAAAATGTTCCCAAACAACGTTGTTTTCGTAAGAATCTAAGGTTAAAACTATTTAAAAAATAACCCAGGTAATTTTTAGGTACCAGATAAGGATGTAACAGGTGGAATATGTGCTAATTAAATTATATAAAAATATCTTATGTCCGAATTAGCATTTGGCTAAAATGAAAAACAAGAGATGTAAAATCAAGCTTAATAAAATCAGATTTTTAGGAAATCATGTTAATTTACTGTTAAAAAAATCTCTTTAGAGTAGGTGTCACCTTTTCTATGAGTGTAATTGTTATAAGAATTATACGTAAACACACTAAGCACTTCCTTAGGCTAAGTGACTACTGCAGAATTTACTATGAAAGTGAATAAAAATCATGGTAAACAGAAATTGAGGTGTACAAAGACAAGATCTCCTTTCTTGTCACATGGAGCCCAACCTCTCACTCACAAAATCATCTACTCATATTTTCGTCTCTCAAAAGAGTTTAATAAAGTACAATTTTATAACTAAGCATCACAGTTCAAGCAAGAAACAGGATTGACACTAAAGGAGGCGGGTAAGACTTGGGGGTGGTCTCAAGGTGGACCTCTTCCCAAAGAGCACACCACCCAACTTATTCAGCACGACCTTCTCCTGATTTTCATCCAGTTTGTACAACATTCTCACTGCCGACTGGCTCCCTCTGCCTCCCTGGCCAGCCTGTCTGCCCTCAAGGCCATAGCCAGTCTCTCTCTTGCCTTTTTCACTTTCCAGGTCTGTCTCCGGATATCTCTAGTGGTGACGGGTTGTCCGCAGAGAAGCTGAGGGAGAGAGAGATCTGCTGCTGAGATCAGCTCTGCCCAACCTGAAGACCGTGCAGCGGTGGGCCCGGGGCTGGTGTGTAGAGACCCAGCACCGGCACCATCCCGGGATTCACGTGCACTACCCGGTGCAATCATTTGTATGACATTTGTGATATCCAGAGCACTTAAAGGTTCTCCTTCACTACTACAGGCCTGGAGTCCCTGCAGTCTCCTGTACGCACAGACTTGCTGGGGCTTCTCCAGGGTCTCATCCCATTGCCTGCGCCGGACCTCACTGCCAGGATGCGAAGTTATCCTTGTGACCCGCCTTTTGAAAATGCAGCTGGTCAGCCTCATAGGAAGTGCAGACCTTTCACGATGTCTCCGCTTGGTCTTGGCTAAATGGACTTCTCTTTTCTTTTTTAACGTCTGAGGCATCATATTTCTTATGAGCTTCCCCTTTGAAAACAAAATGAAATGGGAAATTCGAATAAAATGAGAGCTGAACACTTTCAGTTCGTTTGGATTTTCTACCCTCCACTCTCCCTGGCGAAATGTGTCTCAAACTGCACTGCGCATCGCCCTCATCTGAAGAGTTGTTAAAACTCAGTTTTCTGAATCTCAACCCAAATAGACCTGGGGTGGGGCCACAAATTTGCATTTTTCACTGTTCCCACATGATGCTGATGCTGTTGGCACAGGCACCATACAGTGAGAACTAGATCTTGGGACACCAAGCACATAAGAGTCAAGGACAGGAAGTTTGAATTCACTACCAGTGTCAGTTCCAGACCATTTCCCTTCACTATCCTCCTCTGAAGATGTTTCCCTCTTCTCATCCTTTTCAATGTCAAGTACACACATGCTGGTGCCCCTTCACCCACCGTCATATGCACACCAGGATCACAGGTTTCTTTGTATCCCAAGGCTTCCGGGTTTTCTTCATCTCTTTTTTACTGTGCTTTCGGGCACACAATCATCTAGTTTCTGTAGTCTTTTAGTGTCTCATCTCTAGTAAAATCATGTGCCTTTCAACCCCTAGATACTCACTTTCACTTACACACCCAAGTCCCATCCTTACTCAAATATTCTCTGTTCATAAATAACTCAGGAATACGATATTCCCATCAGAGATTCTTTTTGCACAAACACCTCTACTGTAAATAACCATTTTTACTTCCTTGACTCTCTCTCTTCTCTCCTTGTATGCCTTCCTGTTAATCTCGGCTCCTCTATTTGACTTAACACAACTGATGCTTCTT